ACATATATATATATATATATATATATATATATATATATACGTACAAGACACACGTTCTCCTTTAATTCTATCTCTCCCTCTCTATCTCGTCTCTTTGTACCCATATGTGTCAAATCATGTGAGTCTCCGCCTATTTCTTCTTCTTTTTTTTCCTTGTTTAACATTTAGTGCTCTATGTTTTGTCTCTTTTTCTCACTCCCGTCGCCATTCTTAATCAATCATCATCCTCATCATATCAGGGAGAAGAGATGAAGAAGAAGGAGCAGGTGCTGAAATAGTCTTTACTAAAAGGTTACACGTCTTCGTTTCAATAACCCACTTCTTCCGCAAAAAATCTGGAAATAGACACAGGGGTTGCTGGGGGTGGAGGAAAAGATTCAAGTGTTTACATGTCCTGCATCACTTGAACCTCACTAAAGTATATATATGCCAATTTACTGCATTTATTTTTAAAGTCCTTATCAGAATTGTGTTGGAAACCATGCATATTAAAAATATCCCTGAGTCAGATTTTCTATATACTGGGCTTTTGCTATGGCTGTTTATTTTGTATTGACCCAGGACAGAGTATTTGTCATCAGGGATTATACAGGGAAGAGAATAAAGTGTATGTATTTACATCAGTTGTGCAATTGTATACCTTTTGGAATGCATTTCTTTTCTTTTAAGGTTTGGTCAGCAGTGCCAGGATTTATCTGCAAAATGTTGTGCCTCAAGGAGTGGATAAAAATGGGGGGACAAACATGATTAGAAGAGCTGAATTTGGGAAAAATCACAATTTTTTCAGCATTCCTGCAGAAGCATTTGAAAAAAAAGTTACTCTTGGGTGGCATTTTTTCTGCATTCCTGCTATATATAGGATTAGCATTGGGGGATTATTGGGACAATGACTTTCTTTTTCAGGGATTTTTTCCTGACTTTGGTTACTCAACCAAAGCTGCATTTTGGTGATACCCTTGGTCAAGCTGAAACACAGGAGCCTGCAAAAAAGTACCAGCACTGCTGCATGATGCAAAAGAACCTGCCACTGCTCAATGGTTAATATCCATATGCAGCTTTTTTTTCTGTTTTCTATTCTGATGGGATGGAATGTGAGTGGGGAGGAGGTTTGGATATGGAAACATTGCTTGAACCTTGTGAACACTGAAAAGTGGAAAATAAAGCTTGCTGTATGAGTCAAGGAAATAGAGAGAAAAAAGGAATTCTGAAAGGAATTCAAAAACTAATTCAGCAAATGAACCATGGCAGCTGCCTGCTGTTACCTAGCATTAAATACAATTTCTTTGCCTGGTTTTGAACACCCACAAATATTTTACTTTACTTATTCAATGCCCCACATGGGAAAACCTTGTTTTGTGCCACCAGTGGCTTTTGTTTCCTCTATACTTTGGTCATCACATTCTGGTTCTGGAGTCCATGTCACCATCATCAGAGCAGATACACCATGACTCTCCACTCGTATCGTCCATCTGTGACCTTTGGAGGAATGAAAGGCATATGTGTTGAATTGATTGAAACTAGATAAAACATGCAATAATGAAAGATGTGGATGCCTTAGAAATCCAGACATGTTGATGCACATCATGCACTATAGAAAATAGAAAATTTCAACACCAATTTTTTTTCACATTCTGGTTCAAATCTGTGTCAATTTATTTCGAGGCCAAATATAACCTTTTTTATTTGATACGTCATCGTAAATGTCGTGTGGATTCCTTTTGAATCATCCGAAACACTTACTTATACATGATTACATTATGCGCTTTTTATTTCACCTTATTTTTGCACAAGTGTGGAGACTCATTTTGGATGACCCACCGGATTTCAATTTTTCATTCCGACACTTGATGGAGGGTGAAACGATTAGCGTAGAGATTTCGGCCGTT